CACTATGACAATCGAGTGCCAACCTGTGACAATAAATTAACACTTTTAGCACCATTCCAAAAAGGCACAAATGAAACACCCTTTGCATACCAAAGTGCCAGACGAGCACAAAAAAACTGCAACCCCTTTGGTTACCGACGTGCCATTCAGGAACAATCTAACCGGCAGGTTGTTAGTCTTGGTGCACGACGGTGTTGTTGGGATGTTTGTACAACGCGCATGCACGTACACAAACCACCAAAAGAGGGCTTTCACCGGCGGTGCATCTTCGCGGGGAGCAGTTCTTGGGTAAGTCAGGTTTGTGTGGCAAGTCGGGTCTGTGGACAGTGTATGCAGTCAACTAGCCAGTGCCCGGCAGATGCGCACCATATTACAGCTCTGGGCAACCGGCTGCTCAATAAATAAATCGGTCGGGTTCGTTGACCGTACGTTGACCGTATGTACAGAAAACTAAGTGTTTGATCTGTGCTTGCAGATAGGGAGCTGGCAGCGGACAATTTAAGTCCGTATCGCGAAAGAACGTCTTGAGCCAAGACTAGCATGTTGTCTGAAGCGTAAGGACCTCATTTGAACACCCACTTCTGATTCGTTGCTCGACTGCGCGGAGCGGGGGGGGGGCATCGTTCGCTGCGGTATAAATACGCGATGCATTACTACTTTTTTCACCCATCTGGATAACACACAGCTACTGAATTAGCAATCACGGCCAAAACATGGAAAACGAAGACATTTTGCAGGAATTGTTTGCCGGTAGCGAGTACGACACGTCGACCTCTGATGATAGCCAGCGGTACAGACGACGGCGAAGATGGTTTCTCGGCAGCAGCAAAGAGCGACGTTGGTGGAGCAAAGGTGGACCTTCATGGCGGAAACATGGGAAGACAGCGCCCGAATTTACAGGTGAGCAGTTTGATGAAGATGTCGTTCATTTCCACAATTTCCCACCTCAATGTTCGAAACAACACATGGTTAGCTTCTGTTGCAGTTCATGGATGTCAATGTTCATTTGTATATTGCTAATGTTCGCTTATCATAAAAATGACATAGATTTTTGGCTGGTAACCTTTCCGCCTGAGCTTGACAATACTGTAGCTAAGCAAATTTTGTGCTTAGCAGCTTCCTGAAATTGGCCCAGCACCTGGTAGTGTAGACTACACGCAGTACTCTACACAAGTCTGCTTACCAGACCCAAACGATCTACATGTAGCGTGTGTGATGGATGACAAACAGTTGTTATGGCAGGGAAACTTGTCTATGCTTATCAAACAACTGTGACTAGACCAACGCGTGCGTTTTTTGCCCGATGTTTTGTGCGGGATGATGGAGTACGCATTTCTGAATCTCCAAATTCGTGCCGACAGTAACAATATCATTTTCGAAAATGTTTATCTTTTAAGATGTTGTAAAATTAGTTTTAAGAAATGAACTCATCGTTGACATTACCTTTTGTGATGAGTAAAAGATTAAAGATTATTTTTGGATTTCTCAATGTTTGCAATATCACTAAAAAGGGAAAACAAGTTTAAAAGCCATAATGGGCCATTCTGATGTAGGATTCTGCATGAATTTGATACACATTTCCTGATGTGCATCTTTACCATGAAAATCGCCCCCAAAGAGTTTTGAAAAGCTTTGAAAGTATGAAAGGCGAGGGGTGGGTCACAACATATGACTCTATATGGTAAATGTTCTCGATATTGATGTAAATCTGGACTGTTCATTCAGATTGGCATATTTATGCCTTTAAAAAATATTTTCCTTTGTATAAGTGATACTGAATGCATTTTTAGTCGTAGGGAGTGTGAACAGGTCTTCACAATCCGCTTTAATTTTTTGCTCACCACAAAAAGTTGGGTATGATTAAATAGCCACCCCCCAAAAAATAATAAATGGTGGGGGATAAATCCCGCCCATTCCCCAGGGATTTACGCCCATGTACGTAGCGCACGTCACATGTTAGCGCAAACTCATGATTTTACTCTCGCATATGCAGAGAAAACATGAAATAACATAACATTTCACGAAGAACGAGCAATGTATTACCTTAAAGTATTTGGTTACAATCCTTATCAAATTCTGCAAAATTACGTTAGGCCTGGTATGAAACCAATGGCGGCAGCAAGATCGACGGGCGTAAATCCTGGTTGGGATAGGGTTCAATATCCCCCACTTTTTTGGGGGGGGGCGGGAAGGGATGGGCTATTGAATCATCGACCCATTTTTGTGGTGAGCAAAAATGACACACTGCCACCTCGAAGTGTTAAAGCGGATTGTGAAGAATGTTTCAGACTTCTGACAACTACTAAATGCATTCTCTATCACTCAAAAATGGAAAAACAATCTTTAAAAGCAATAAAATAGTACAGATGCACATCAATATCTTACAATGTACATGATATATTTTATGATATCTATCGCATAGAGTCATAAGGTGTCAACCCCCCCACGCGCTTTTCTATTTTTCATGACTGGGCAAGTCATTCCCACCACCTTTCGCCATCCCCCAATTCCGGCACAGATTTACGCCACTGGTTGGACTAATGGAGACGAACCTCGGTCCTGGGATGTGTGTTTAATTTTTACCCTTTTTTAGATTACTCTTTTCCTCATAAGCAGCGGACATATGGGCAACAGTGTAACGTCATTGCTATAAATATAGAAAAAATAGGACTCATGCATGTCCACACTGGGTTGAAACGCTTGCCTTTGTCAAATTCTGTCAGGAAAAAGTCCACCGTCCTAGAGGTATCTCAATTAGTCGGAATCTTTTAGTCTGGGAGCCAGACTACCCCAATTCGTTGGCTGTGACTGAAATTACTGGACGCAAGATATTGTTCGTAAAATCAGTGCCCAAAATTTAACTTTCCTGACGTCGTTGGCGGAATTCAGATCCCGAAATGGGTAAGTCGGCCCATCCCTATTTCATTTTACGTACTGATGAAGTATTTTAGGGTTGAACTGCACTCGTTATGAGCGATTATTGACCGGATAGAAACCCTGTCCGTTCAGCTTCCTTCGTGTGCAAGATCAATATCACACGCAGGCTCACAAGCGACTTTTTTTTTCTCCGAGGAAGGCAAAGTAATATTCACGAATTACTCACGAGGCTTGCGTTTATACCCTCAGTGTGATAGCAACATAATAATGTGCAGGGCTACTGCGTGTGCATAGCGAATGACCACCCTGGCAGCAGACTGCATTGCCTACCATTAGGTGGCACTACATTAACATAATTTTTTGGCCCATGGCGCGGCTTAAATCCATGACGGCACGAAGGGAGGTGATGGATGGCAACACTAAAATGGACCAGTCGATGTAAATTTCAAATTCTTGCGGTCCAAGCAGTGCGTTGTGTCCCACAACCCTCGTTTGTACTTCAGTTTACCTTGTTTATTTTTTTTCTTAGGGAGAAATGTCAATTAATGTTGCAGTACTGATTCGGTCACCAAAACGACAGGATTTGTTTCTGTACCCTAATTTCTTTTAGCTTGTAGTTTGTGAAAGTCAATGACAGGAAACCTGTAGGTAGCCTTTTTCGATATGTAAATTTAGCGTTCACAGTCTGTTCAGAAAAAAAAATAGGTATAGGACTATCTTAATTACACTCCACGAAAAAGCTCCAACATTATATCCGCTCAGCTCAGAGAGGGGACACCGAGGGCAAATCTCCCCATAAATTTCGCTCTACGCATGTTAAAGGAAAGCTAAAACTATGAAACCTCAAAATTCACCTTTGTGTCTCAGCTTTAACCTCATTTTCAGTTTACGTTTTCACTCTTTCAAAGGACACTGCCTTTTGCTTTTATGCCAATGAGTATATATATTCACCAGCAGTGCTACATTGGGGTTTGTTCACAAACCATTTCATTAGGCTGTCAGCTGAAAATTTTAGGACGCCCAGGAAAATGACTTTCGTCTTAAAAATTTTAGGCAAGTTGAAAGTAGCTAGATAGATGTACGGTAGATGGTCCTGCATTTTCTTTTTAGTTGAAATCCTCTTTGCAGTGATCTTAGATTCACCGTGAAACAATCGTGATTACCTTATGGGAAAACAAGGCTGGGTGATTTGAACAAAATGTCTTCATATTTGGTACAAGATTTAAGTTTGCGTTTCACATTCGCTGCGAAGGCTCAAAATTTGAACCCAATTCTCGCAAGAGTGAAACTTTTGTTACGGGGGGACTCACAGGACGGCTTCAGTGTGCGAAAATCTGCATGCAGACCCAAAGTCAGGTTGCCTTTAGGTGTTAAGATGAAAGTAAATGGTAGAATTTGCAGCTGATGGTCAAGGATACATGTTTTAAAGATTTTGCTGTCGAATGTTCTCTTCTTTGGTGATCCTTGTGAATAAAGCAAGATGAAAGCAACAATGATCAACCCTTTCTCAAACATATGGTTAGTCAATACGTCTTCACAATTTGTCTTCAAAGATGACGTCACAGCATCAGCGCCCTCAGCTGTCAAGGAGATCGAGCGTGCATAAGTTAAATTAGACGTGTGTGTAATTTTCAGACATTGAAGAAGAGTATAAAATTGCAGAAAATCTCAGGGCTAAAAACTAATTGCAGCAACACTCTAATATCATTGGAGAGATAGCTGCTGTAACAGTTGTTTCCTATGTTCCATATTGTTTCGGGGGGGGGACAACTTCTTTTTCTTTCACAGCTTTTCTCTAGGGTGAGGTTGCATTTGGGGACCTTTTCCACGCCAATAGAACTTAATAAAAAATGCCTTTTCATGTCTTCCAACGTATCTCATGGGGGGTGCATGGTCCCCTATGGTCTCAGTCTGAGGATCTGTCGTTGGGTTGGAAGGATGTATATGTAGACCGTCCTAAAACTCCTCACGTAGTCTCAAGAACACTTAACACTGTTCAGGCAAACGTAGCAAAAAGCTCTTTGATGTTAACCTTCCTCTCATACAATCGATGCGCGGCTGATATGTGACTCATCAGTGCAAGAAGCACCGGGTACCGTCGCACAAGCCAGCGGTGCATAAACATGCAGCTATCACGAAGAATCTTGTCTCCATCAATTTGCGACCGGGTTCAATTTCGCATTGGGGCCAATTTCAAGGCGGCACCAGTAAGATAAGGCTGGTTTATATTCGGCGCTAAAGCTAACACGAATGCAAGATTGTGCGGCCATATCAAACATTCGTAGAACATATTTCAACTCGACCCAAATTTTTGAAATGTGAAGAGGCCTTTAATTGGAGGTTATTCTGGTATTGCAATAGGTCGCATTGAAATCACTCCCAAATTACTCCCCATCGTCCCAGTGCTGTGTTTGCGATTATTTCCATGGTCCCAGTTTTGAAGTTTTAATAAAAATTTCCAATGTCTTAGTTAAATAAACATATCAACTTTGAAAAGGTTTGCTATCAGAGGAAAAGCCGTCTGCACACAAACGGTCCGAGGAACAGAATTTCACACTTTGTGTTCCGGGGTTAGGGCACTCTCTGCCCATGGCAGCCTCGGTCTATAACTCTATTGATATAATTCATCATTGCTCCATTTTCGTGGTCTGCGCCTTCAATAAAAGGGGTTTCTCTTGCCGCTGCCATGTTTCAGTGCAATCAATACAATTAGGAGGAGTTATGCCCACACATTTTACTAAAGGCCAGTTCATATAATATATGTAATTATGACAAATGCAAAAACGAAGCGAATTTGACATCACAAAAGATTTTTGCTGCGAAATTTCGCCTAAGTTGAATTGTGTTCAACGAATTTGCAGGGCACGAAATAAGACTAAAGTTCAAAAGTTACCAAAATAAAAACAAACAGACAAAAATGAAGGATTTAACCATCCCTGTTGGTTGAACTTGCCTGTGGTCAGTACCCGTCCCCAGTGGTTTGATTCTATCTCTTTCTGCATTTCCCCCCAAAATGCAGTTAAGTGGTTTTATTAAATTAAGGTTTTGTTCAGTTCGTATTTTGTTTGGGTTTGATTAGTTTTGTTTCTTGGAGTGCATGTTGGTTTGTGCGCGTTACTCTGCCAAATCTTTTGTAGTAACAATTAAGGGTTACTACCGATAGCTTTTGAGATGGGTTTGATGTGATTGTTTTGGTTTCTTTAGGTTTGTGTGGATTGGTTGATTAGACAACTCACGTTGCTCGTGCAAAGGAATCAAGTTCAGCTACGTTTTATATTGCTTTGTAGATATCAATAAACGACCTCTAATACTAGCAAAAATAATGGCACTGCTAGGGATAAAGAGCAGTTGGTTAAAGCCAGAAAAAGGTCTGAAATGGGCTACGCCTACGCCAATCACAGTTATTTTTAATTTCTTTTTTTGCAACTTGCTGCTGTTCTATCAAAGAAAGGCGGAAATCGGGTACAGAATGCATTCTTATGCTAAAGAGAAAAATCTGAGGAAAACCTGGGGCCCCACACTGTTTTCTTCCAGTGACTGCATGGTAAATTTACTTGTCCTCCTTTTTATCATTTTCTTGTAGAGAGGAAGTTTTTGGCCGTTCTGTTTGTTCTTTCCGGAAGTTTTGAAGGTATTTGAAATTTTTGTTTCTGGGTGTTTTCATGAGTAAAAGAAAAAAAAGCACTGGTTGTTATTACGAGAAGAAAGAAGATCCAGGAGAAGAAAGGGCTCTTTTGACGAAATAACTCCATCGGCTACTCACAAAATCAGCGAATTAAGTTGCAAAATAATGCGGTCATAATACAGTCTGCTGGGTAAGATGTGCTAACACCGACTGATTGTCATTCCACCTTGTGAATAAAGTGTAATAAATTGAAGCATGGTACACACGGTAGGAGGACGCTATTGAAGGGAGTCAATTTGTGGCAGACAGAAAGGATTTTACTCAAACCAAAATAGCGGTCTGTGTTTGTGTTTACCATATCGAGAATATCGGCCAATGGCCTGTGTCGTTGTCAAATAAACACGTCCATTGGATGCAATCGTACGCCCTATTCATGTGGAATCCACGGGCGTCGTTGAAAAGATTTCATAGCCTTTTTGACTAGGGGGAGAGCAGTCAAAAGAATCAAAGTTTTATACTGAGAACCCATCAAAAGTGGAGGAAAACTGCAATAAGTTAGAGGCATTGCCTACATTGTAATCTTCTATCCCTTTTAGTTTGTTTTTGTTTAATATCTTCCAAAGATGAATTCCCCTTAAATCCCCCTTAAAACCTCCCCTCTGGAATCCCCCGCCACACCCATGTTTGTATGCTCTTGATGATTGGTGGCGCTATCTCGGCGTAGAGTAGATGTGGTTTTGTGTTGAAATGATATCTGGTATTCGGTCGGACGTTGCGTATATGCGTCGCAAATGTTATCCCAAACGGGACCCGTGTAGAGTTTTTTTCACCTCAATAGTTTCTTCATATTTTGATTGAAGCGCTTGCTCTCAAGTGTCACGTCTGTCCCTTGTACGGACTTTGCAAGGATGGTGAAGCCGGAGAAGTACAGACGTGTGACAATGTCGGTGGCGCAGTTGAGACTCAATGCTTGAAATTTGATGGGGAATACTCTGCGAGATATGAAGGTGGGTTTGTTATTTTCTGTTCCCCTTGCATCTCTCGTCTTGTTTTGTCTTATTCCACCGCCGGGCAAACCGTCTGGTGTCATCAGCTTATGTCTTGTTTGACTTGTCTAGTCACGGTCTCAGTACATCTGGTCTTGTTGAGTCCTATATTATCTTTGCCTGTATTGTCGATTCTTGTAGGGTAGTGTCGCATTATGTCTTCTCATGTTGCGTCTCCACCGTAAGCCGCCGTACCCGAACGGGAAAATCCGTCTGAAAAATGAAAAAAGGTAACTTTGGTATAAAACCGTAAATCCTGGGCCCGGCCCTTGTACCGCAACCGGGAGGTTGCAATTGAAAAACTCACAAAAGCAGAGTAGGGCAACGGGCCTTTAACCCATACTATGTGTGTGGGGGGGGGGATCGAGTGAGAAGGAAGCACGGACAGAAACAATACATCAGTGTGCCCAAGTCTTTGGTATAATATTCACAGATGTGAGGGGCTATTGTATATCAAGATAAGCATCAGGCGATTTCTAGTACCAAACGCTACAGATTTGTTCCATATTCTACAGACATACATCCCAAGCACTTTTTGAGGGGGGGTGGCGTTTTTATACCCTCCCCCACTTTTCTGGTAGTGATCAAACTAGAATCGATTATTTTGAACTTAACCTCACAGTGGAAACCGGAGAAGAGAACGGGCAGAAACGTTAAACGCATCATTCTATTGAAAGGTCTAAACAGACAATCAAGCATACATCCGATGCGTTCGAGTGGCTTTCACGGGCAATCCTGGCCTGAGTTGGTCAAATATGCCGTCTGTAAGAAAAGAGAGACTGTGGGGACGAAGTCTAACCTGAGTCAACTCCAGGAAACTGCCGGTGCACAAAGTCAACCAATTTTGGCTCGGTGGCCTTTTCCTCGTTTTTCACCTAGATGGGGACCTGAATTAGTTTTTGGTCTCTACCCTTTTTTCCATGTGGGTTTTCTCTGAAATACTGATCTGAAGTTTTTTCCCCGCCTCCAAACCTAATATGTCTTTATTGTCTCCTTCATTGTTATGCATAGTCTTCCAGTATAGAATTGAGTGCGCTGTTAGATGAACAAAATAATATATAAACAATATCACAGGAAGGCCTCTAATGCAATGTGATGCCCCACCCCTTGTTTTCGCTATTCCAAAGGCTTAACAACTGGATTGCGCCCATCAATTAGAATGGATACCGTCCCACTCCCATAGCAGAGTGTGCTTTTCAAGTGTTGGGTAGCAAAATGAAGCCAACTTTAGTACTCCACACAAAATGTAGTCTAATTGCACTGTATATTTAGTGACTGACGCTTTTATGACATGCTTTACTGTGGGGAGACGCCATGTTTGTTGATGATTGAAACCCACATTAGATCCCGTGACTTAGTTGGCGCAATCGGTCTATTCCCTCCACTCACCGGCAGGATTACGCCGTAGAAACCTTCAGATCAAATTTGTTTGGCTCACTTGTCACCACCACTAGTTACTGTTCCGTGAGTTTCATAGAAAACAGCATGTAGCACCAGAATAACAGTTGCTTCACCATCAGTAGCATTGTTGTTGATTTTTTTCTAGACAATGTTGGTGGTAATTCCATAAAGTACCGGGATTCGTGATGGCTTTGTGTCGTAATTTACTAGCCAAATAGAATTTACAACAATAGAGATTAACGATTAGCAGTTTTTATTAACTGACAAACTTTCCAGGAGCGACCATGAGCTTCAGTGGTGTCATTCGAATTTGCAGCTACACACTGAAGGATTCCGATACCCCTCCCCTCAGCTGCCTGTCCAGTAGTGAAAGCGATGCCTACATGAAGCACAGCCTCCAGGTTGCCTCGGAGCTGGTGCCCAGTATTAGTCACTTAACTGTCGACGTCACGTCTGGCCACGCATGCTTCTGCAACACCGACGGCTGCAACGGCGTAGACTCCGCCAAGCCGTTTCTCTCTCTGATCCTGGTTGGTTTGTTACATCTGCTTGTGATGTAAAATGCGTATAGGCGTCCAATAAAAAGCCGTGTTGTAGTGGAGTACATTCCCACGAGTGAGAGTACGAATTCTTTACATTGATTTCCGGTACAATGTATAGAACTTGTCTTGCGAGTACTACTATGGATACGAGTACGTAAGGAGTAGGCCAACGAGTACCAAACTGGACTCGGGTATGAGTATAAGAAATAGTAAAACAAAAAAAGTAGAGATAATATGTGTATCGTGATTGGACCTTCAACAGTTTGGCTTGTCCAGATCGTGCTTATTCGGCCATTTCATATCCGAGTTCCTGATATAGAGTTATCATTCATAAACAGACGGTCTGCCTATTCAACACTGTGCAACGTGACCCTTTGTTATCGTTTTGCTATGCACGATGCGATTTGATAATGCCCGCTAACGGGCATTATCAATAATGCCCGCTAACGGGCATTATCAATATTCTGTATTATTATTGTTATCTATGCTGGTTCGCCCGAATGCAACTTAATTGCACCATTTTAGCACCATAACTATAAGCATTGCAACTTCCTTCCCTCATGCCTATAATCCACCTGCATGGCTGAGGCAAGTAGGCCTAAAGGGCAAGACATTAGACCTGCTAACGCGTGGAGCTAGGACCTAGTTCTACAGCCGAGGGTAATTGGTGGCTGGCTTCGAACTCCTGATAAAGATTTTCAACTGATGGGTCAGTTGCAAATCCAAACCATTGGGCCACGTGGCCTACAAACCCAAGTTGAAACTTTTTATCTTTCAGAAATATGTCGTGTAATGTCCTTAACTGTAAAATTCATGTAGCCTACATATCTTTGTCAGGGCTGTTACACCACATCATGCCCTCGGAATCAGTAGTGACCGCAAAATCCAATCCCCATGTGGATCTGGATGGAAACCAAACCAAAGGTTCTCAGGTAAAAGGTGAGAAAAGTATTGTATGATGCCAGCCCAATATGTGTAAGCTAATTTTCGCCTAGGAGCGAAATGGGTATAAGCGCCTATGTTTGGTCTTCATTTACCAGTAAAACCTTAAGATGTATAATTAGAGTATGCTTGTATTGTCTGATAAGTAAAAAGTACCGTAAGCATTAGTGTCTGTATGCTGTTCTCACAATCCTGCATTCTGTCCGGTCTAACTCACAGGGGGATGTCCCGTTTACCTGAAGCATGTGTTCACGTTAAAATCGTTCACCGGGGTAACTTTGGGAGGTTAAAATCCTCATCGTCTCCGACTTTCCTAAAAACAAATAGGCCTATTTCTAATCAATTCAAATCAAATCAGTGATCATTTATTTCCACATATAACAATATATTGGATACTTGGCAGAAGAAAATATAAATTACATGTCATATGTGGAGGGATCCCGTAAGAAACAATGTTTGTCGAGAATGGGAACTCTTTAAACATATATCCTCAAGTCTGAGTGTAAGATTTTAAGATTTTATTTTTCACATTTGATTGGATATTTTGTCATAAGTCGAATTTAATAGTATCAAACATCCATCCACTTCTTTTAACTGTGAGTTAGAGCTTAATTAAGTGCTGCAAAAGTTATCCATTGACTTGGGACAACTGTGGCAAGTTCCTAGAATTTAATGATAAGAAAAAAAACCAAAGAAAAAAGAATTATAGCAGAGTTTTGCACGTAAACAGTCCTTCAGACCAAGCTTCCAGGTGTATTTTCTGATACAATTACTCTCATAGAGTCATTTAAGAGAATCGCAAGGATATGACGACTATAACCAAGGGATGAGGAATGTGCCAAAGTGAACCCCGGCTGCCAAAGTTACGTCGGTTTACGAAAGTATGTTTTCAAGAATTGTGTAAAGGTAGCAATAATCACTCAAAGTTACGATATTTGCGGGAAAATTAGGAAAGTTGCACAAGTAAACATTGGAAAAACGAGACATTGCAGACATTTCAGAACCTTAATGGCCATCTACCGGTACGTGAAACGGAGGAATTCCTCCCAGTTTGGTCACATGATGAAGTGGCGGCTACCAGATCTAAAGATCCTCCAAAACGGTCGATACCTTTGGTTTGGAGACCAGACCAGGTCACTTGCCGACTACACACCAGGTTGATGGATAGCTGTGCAGTTTTTTTTGGATTCGCACAAATTCACAGAATTGCAATGCAATACACCGCTGTCGTTTTTCCTATTATTTATACATAGACGGCCAGAGTGTGTCAAGCTGTCACCCTTGGTTATAGTTTCGGGTTTTGCCTCAAAATGTACAATCGCCCCATTACGTTTGTCCTTTCAACGGAGGTCGTAGCTTTATTTATTTAGAAGCAAAATTTATTATGTGGTGCACGAGTAGTGAGAAAGTTGCTCAAAAAAGCTCATCAGTTGACTCGAAAAGAGTAAAACCACCCAAGAAGAGTGAAAAACAACTCCAAAAAGTGAAAAAAGAAGAGCCGTTTTGTACAAGTCTTTTTCGAGTTGTCCTTTAAACGGCTCCTTGGTAGAGTGTAAATTTACAGTTTACTCTTTGGGAGTGGTTTTCACCCTTCTAGTGGAGTGAGTGGACTCACTCGTTTTGAGAATGAGTTTTACAATCGTATGCATTTAGAGGTGTTTTGAGTGATATCCTACATTTCTGAACATTTTTAGTGAATTATTTTTTGACTTTTATGTTGACAGCTAGTCATCGTGTTGGCAGCCACCTGTATGCAAAAACACAACTGTGACGTTAAAAAGAAGACTCAGACAAAGAGCACAAACTTACAGTGCATTCGATCAGTCGAACAGGCATACACGTACACAGGCCTGAAAAGTATTGACAAGCACAGCTGAGTAGTGTGGGGGGTTTAGTATACTTATGCATATTAATGAGACCTTTTGCCATTTTTGTCGCAAAGGTCAAACTGTACCAAACAGTCCCCCCCACTACTCTGCTGTTAACGCAGTGAGTTATTACAATAACAACTATATTTATAAAGCATTTCATCTAACTTCTGAGTTGTTCATTCTATCTGAAATGTTTGCAAAGTTTCATGACGCATAGTCAATAATGCGATCAACTGAGAACATTCATAGCCAACATAAAAGTTTTTTCCTCGTTAAGTCGGGTCACCGTTTGCCAAGAATGGCCACAATTGCTCAGACATCCGATTCATTAAAAGTAACAGGCAAACTGTACTACTGATTAAAATAATCACATACTTTTGTCAAAAACATGAATGGAATTTTACTCAACTTCAACAGTGTTTCATTCAATAATGCACTCCAGTGCTTGTTTTGTCTTCCTTAAGAAAACGTCTCGTTGAGAAACTGATGCTTGGAGAGGCGCTTTTTGAAGCAATAAAATACCATATGATGCGTGTTTCCTCTGGTAATTTCATTGTTACTTGTGCTGTATTGTGTGGTTTGAAAACTATTTGTACACAATAAATAAAATTACATGTAGACCACAGCCATTATTCAACACACGCCGGACGCACAGAACCTCTTAATCCCAGGAGGAATCCACACACAACTACAACACACAAGGGAACCCCTCATTTTTTGCAGATTATAACTGGCAATGCCATTATTTACTACAGATATGTCACACTAAGCACACTACTCCCTTGAAGACGCTCTTTGCTTTGATTTCAAGCAGAACGTGCGCGCTGCGACGAACGACGAACACCTTGTCCAAGGTTAAGTCCAGATAAGCGCACAGGGATCAATAGTATAAGATTTTATTCAAAAAACTGTTGGTGGAATTCTACTCCTCATGAAATAGTGTATGAAAACGTATCAGAAAACTATTTTAGATGCTCTCTTTGAAAGGTGTATTTTGTAATATTTTAGATTCTCCATAATTTTCTTTAAAAACCAGGCGGGGCCTTTGTGCTTTGTCATCACAGGAACACACTCTACATTTTAGGTGCTTCAGTTTAATTTGTTAATCAAAAGGCTGCTTGCTCTAAAGGGCCCGTGAGGAAACTGTGGTCTCTGGCCAACTACCATAAAAACAGATAATGGTTGATGTCTCAGACATCACATTTTTGCTGCGAATACGAAAACACAAGTTACCATAATAATCAAAAGGCACCAAAATGCCTTTTAAATAGCACAACAAAAACAGAAACCTAGGCTTAATGAAAACAGAATTGCCTCTAAACATGACATTGCAAGAGTATACAGCCTTATAAGCTTCCATCAAAATTAGTGGAAGCAACATAGTTGTAACATGGAAATTATGTATCTTCGTCCATTGCTAGATTATTAATTACACGAAATTTTATGATCCAAATCCTACAAGGAGAATGAGTGACATGACCTTCAGTCACCTGAGACCTGTGGACCTATTCGTTCTTTCCACACTGCCGCCATAGGTATGTAGAGTTCCGATCTTAGAATTGCGTCAACACCACTTTTCAAATACCATTGTCCAATCACCACCTCGTGTAAAGATGGTCACGGAGGCTCTGCATGCCGATGGCGTCAGCGCGCCGAGAGGGAATGGATGCTTCAATGGATCACAACACGGTCACATTTATCGACTTTACTACATCATTTCATCAGAAATGACTGTGCCCAGAGACCGAACAGCCAATGGAAAACCAGTGTTGTTACGAGTTACTTATCACTCATATGGTATGACTCGACTCGAGTCAGAGCGTTCCCTTGGCGACGTTTGTAATTGACAAAATAGAGTAGTTCACAAATAAATTCTATATTATGTGCGCATATTCATAAATGGCAAATGAAGGCAACAGGGGTACAAATTTCGATGTCATTTTCTCTCAGCTTCAACGCCTTTTCACTTCTGTCTTCGTAATATCCTTTTTCATGGAGCAGAACCCAAGCAGCACCAGCTAATTGGTTTGGCCCAGCTATGGGAAGATCTTGCAGGACTGGTCAGCCCAACCCTGGCATGCTGCAGCTGGACCACCCCTGGCCGCCCTGGGCCTACTGATGCCAGCCTGGTTCCAAGAACTTTATATACCCAGCTGGGTCAGGGTTGGCACCAGGCAGGTGCTGGGTTCAAATCAAAAATCGAAACTAATGCAAACTTACTGTAGGCTACATGGAGGAGTTAGAGTGTGGTCCCTGATCATCATGCCACTGATTATCTGCATATCGTAATTGTCAATACACAATGTTTCAACATCAATAATTACACTAATGTAATTTCCTAGAAGCTCGTTTGGCGGCCACTGCCCTTTCATGGTTCACGAACGACTATGAAATGCGGTGGAACGGCTCCCAAGAAAAACAAGCACTCCACACTAACATGCTGTTTAACCGATGGCAGTGCGTCTGCTCGCGGCGGTTGTTTTGAGTTGGTTCTACTGAGTGTTGAATATTAACATTTAACTGGTTGCTGCTACGGTAAGATTGCATTATTAATTAACCCATGTGTCGCGCTGGACATGAACATTTTACAAATAGTGACTCCGTTGTTAACCCCAATTATTCGCGGTGCTGTAGCTTTTTCAAAATGCTTCTGGTCATATTTACAGAGAAGAAATATTTTATGAGCCACTGATCACGCATTGCATTGTGGGAGCATCATACAATGAAGAATTTGGAATCCACGTGCTGGGGAAATCATCTAGGGTCCTCATTTTCAGGAGGCACGGAGTGGGTTCGCCCACAGTTAAGAAATTGGACGCCAGCCTATTTCTCTTGTCTAATTGGGGGGGGGGGGCTGGAGAAATAGACTACGAGCTCGGGGTGCACGCCCACTTACAGTTACGCCACTGTATATATACTTAACACCAATTAAGAAATTCCTCCGGGACCATCACCTACATTCATCATTCCTACATTCAACGTTTGAAGGACATCTGTAGACTATGTTGGGATCAGGAGCCAGTCTATGTAAGACTACATTAAGCCAACTGACGCACGACAACGCTTGACATGGGTAAGTTTTATTTCATTTTCTGTACTAGGGACGTTTTTAGGATTGAACTTCATTAACAAAACTGAACGGGATAGACACCATGTCCACTTAGTTTTCAACACGACTCTTTTTTTTTTCTGAGGATGACTGGTGCGGGAATTAAGCGTTCAAGCATTGTTCCCGAGGAAGGCCAAGGGGTACATTCAGTAGCAAAGTATAAGCCGGGACTGGCAAGCCTTGTATATCTTGATCATTCATGGTATGCATTATTGTATGCATGTATATACGCATTGCATTGTGGAACATGACCCTGATGTATGCTACGTCACCGAGGGGCTGGTACGCAGCTTCCCCCCGCCATCTCATGACACCCAAAGCGTTAAAGGTGCACTGAGGACTGTTGTGCGAGGCCCGGTACAAGTAGGGTGTCTGCTAGACATGTAAGGCTAGATCGAATGTCTCGTTCATGTTCGCACCAACAACTGGATGAAATCCTGCCGCCCTTTAATTTCCGCTAGTAGTATTTTTATGTTGTTCACACATATACAAAAAACCTTATAATCTCAGAAACGTTTTTGATGAACAAAAATCAGGGTTAACGATTTTGTTTATATTTACTAAAAAGATACTCCATAGTTTCCTGAGACAAATCACATACAACAGCTCATCCAGTTGCCGAAGAGTGGACAGTCGGCAAATGATGCTTAGTGTAATGCTGTTTTCTTCCCAAATTCCCAAATTAGTTGGAAAAAGTAAGGCTGAGCACGTGCTTTTTATTCAGCGATTGCACGGATTTTGAGGACAATGGATATCGACTATTTATTTTTGAGGAGGTATTTTGAGAAATATTTTAAATTTCCTCCTTTTTGCCATTATCTTTCAGAGGGGAAGTTGTTGATTGTTCTTTTTGTTCTTTCTTCAAGTTTCGGAGGTATGTAATATTCTTTTGGGGTGTTTTTCATGCATTAGAAGGAATGATTCGCTGTTGACTTAATGGCTCACTAAATAACTCACAAAAGCACTCACAAAATCAATGAATTCATTCATTAAATAAATGCATTCTTTGAAGGCCTCAGGAGTTGGTAGAAACAGAGTTATTTACATAGCAGCACTTACAAGTGTCTCATTCGGTGTACAGTGTCCACATTTGTTTTACAAAAAATGTTCCGCAGATGGAATGGCGTCCATGGGTGTTGTCAATGAGGTTTTGCAGAAGTTGTCAAGGGGGGAGGCAAGGTACCTATCAGAATCAAAGTATCACACTAAAACCCCATGGATCAAAATGAGACGGGAGAAGCAATTTAAAGGTTTTTTTGAGAATATTTTCCCTCCTTTCCCCCTTCTCTAGATCTGTTTTTGTCTGACTCCCTATTATTCCCCAAGGGAGCATACCTCGAACCCTCTCACAACACTCATATCCGTAGACTCTATAGATGGATTTCACATTAGCGCCGTCTGCGCATATCCGCATCGAAACCGAGGCTCTCTGTGTTGAACTTCATCGCGCGCGCCTGCGGAGTCGACACAGTACATGCAGTATCCGGTTCGTAAGTGTGGTGCCACTTCAGTTTAAACCACGCCCACTGCACATGCAGATACACGACCATCGCAGGTACGTTAGTTCGCAGTAAATTGCCGTTATTTTTTCTTTTGATTTCACGTGTCGAGTCATCCTGAAAGACTGTTACACAAAGATTGCATCTTGAAAAGTCTAAATTTAACATACCTTTATGTATTTTGTGTCTTAACTCCTTACTTTCAATCGTCTGATCGCATTAGAATTGAAGCTGACACATACAGCCTCGTTTTCAAACGCGGAAGTGCGCAGATTGACGCTAAAAGCGTCGTATTGGGATCCCTCTATAATCAATGGCACACCTGAGTTTGTTTCTGCATTCAATTGGGGACCTTGAACGATACAGGACAATAAGGTCCCCGATTGACAGAGGGTCCCCGATTGACAACTGTGTACAAAACATATGGGTGGTCTTCTAAAAAAGTTTAAGTACAAACAAAAGAGGAACAATAGGGGGTCCCCAGTTGCAGGTAAATATACACTTGCGTGCGTGTGTGTATGTTGTAGGCATTCTTTTGTATGGTCACGATAGATGTGTATACACAGACATGTATAGACAGAGAGGACTAGATCGGCTGTGCGTTCATATCACGCAACCAATCGCTTTGTGATGGCCGTGCGCAATTTTGTAGTCCCTCCCGCGTGGACGCTCAAAATATGAACGTACACTCTATACAGCTTTAACATACATACATATGGGCTCCAGCGCATGACTTAGCTGGTCATTACTGGTAATAATTTCGAACTCTGCACGGAAACTTTGCAAAACTCACTTCCACAATACAATTATTCATAGTACGCAAAGAGGAAGCTTTTATTTATGTGACGAAAATAAAAGAAAAATGAGTAGCAATATCACAAAATAAGGGGGTCCTGGCGTTTCAATCCTAGCAGCACCTATTTCACAGTCAAAGAATCCTTCTCAAATTTTGCCTCTCAGAAAGATTCTGCGAGGATCAAAACGTCAGGCCCCTCCTTTTTCTGTTATTTATATTTTATGTTACTGAAGCCAGCAAGAAGTTTATAACCGTTTTGTCTTACATATACACATTTTGAGTAATAATATTTAAAAAGGTAACTCTCTGGAAGATACTTTCGTGGTATTTTATTGAATTAGAAGTTGCCCGGCTACAGACCATTTTGTACCCCAAGTTCCTACTCATTCATTTCGTAAGGGGTCGGTTTGGTATTCCAGCAGCACCTGCCCAAATTACAGCACCCAACGCGCAGAAACCAGCTGGTAGCCAGCTGGCTTCTGAGCTCCTGGACTGGTCCCCGTCCCTACTTTAATGGGGACCAGTATCTGGCTACTGGTTGGTTTAGCTCTCGTGCATGCGGAATTCCTTGTCATGTTTATAGAGATGACGTTCACAACAATCTTTTGCCTGCGTGACAGCGAACACATCGCTCTCGGGAAAACTTCAGAAAAGGTTTTCTCCCGTCAGTACATTGATTTACTCGTTATTTATTTTACATCTCTGGACATTAAGAATAAAAATACGAGAAACATCGTCGGCAGGGCTGTCCAGGGAAGGCAAGAGTCTAAAGATAAGCCAAGATATTAAAGCGGTAACCGACCTAAAAAAACAGGTAAATACGTCCAAAAGTTTTTTTGCGTGCGGAAACCTTTCTTACATCTTGTGTTTGTCGCGTTGACTTTTCTTTCTGCGCGTTAACCTTTTACCTGCAGCACATGAGCTGCCAAGCAAAACCGCGCGTATGCAACTGCTGCCAATCTAGTCTTTTTTGAGTCAGTCCACACCGACGTTCTCAGACGGAAACTTTACATTGACTGTTATTTAAACAGAATCTTGAATGTGGTTTTTCGTTGAAGCTTTTGCACTCAATTGCCACGTGTGTCCCTTTTTCGGGGTTTGCAAAGACGGTGAAGTGGGCGAACTGAAGTCATGTGCCAGCCTCAACGGTACAGTTGCCAACCAATGCCTGAAATTTGATGGCGCATATTCTGCAGTATTTAGAGGTGGGCTTGTACTATTTGGCATTAGTTTGTTGGCTTGCTGTGAATCCTTAGTTCAATTTACAAATAAACTAGTCTGTCTTGGTTTGTCTCGTTGCGTTGCGATGCAGCACATCTCATCCCGTCAGCCTGGTCTCGTCTCGTCTCTTTACATGTTGCTGTGCCGTCTCGTACCTTTTCCTGTTAGATCCTATCGTGTCACAGCGTATCTTGTCTTGTCATGTGTTATTGAGGTTGTGCATGGCAGCCGTCTTTCCTGTAACTGCTTTTGTCGCAGAGGGATAGTACAAAGGGTCTACTCAGGTATCCCTGTGGAACAAAAGCTCTTACCGGAAAAATGGCTCCCATGCAGAACCTCTACTGTGCTTTGTTGAATTTTTTGTTGCGAGGTAATGTCAAATCACGTTATGTTGTCTGGCGGTTAGGAAGATGTTGTCACGTTTTATAAAGGTTCACCCTATCTTTGTCACGTGCGGTTAGAGTGTGTCATTCTAAGTTTTATCATGATTTGTCTCAGAGACTTTTGTTTCATTCATTTTTGTCTTGCCATGTTGCTTGTATTTCCGCAGTATTTCCCTTCATGCAATGTTGTAACGACTCGGAGTCACTGAATTCTGTGAATATCCATATTTAATTGATGCGCCTTCCCATATTTCTTGTGATGCCATTGATCCCAGGAAGAAAACCCTAATAATTATTACATTGCTGTGCACATTCACAGTCTTCCATTTTATCAGCATTTTGTTTGTCAGGCCCCAAATTTTCTTCTCTGGTGATTCATTGTGAAAATACTTTGTCATAAGGCAGTCGCTGTTTCTCAGAAATATTGTCAGTCAGTAATTCTGGATTCACAATTTGCGCAGAAAAATCTTTGCACCGAACGATGTCCTCCCCAGATGACGGCACAGCAACAGCGCCCTCAGCTGTCTATCAGCAGAAGAACCACCCTCATGGGTTCCGTAACGCCATACTTCGTTTGGAATGTTTGTTTTGTTGGTAGCGATGCGACCGTAGCGCGCCGCATTTCCTGGTTGTTCGTGTACCAGCGAAGATCAGTTGCGACCAAAGGAGCCTCCGCTGCTAAGAAAAGTGCGTCTTCTCTTGGTCCAGCTCGAGGCTAGAAATTTCAATAGCATAGATATAGAATTCTTTGCAGCTACACTTTGAATGTAAAAAAAAGGTGCCTTGAATGGCTCCCATCCACGGGTAAACCCTTGACCTGGTCTGTGCGCATGTGCAATGTCAGCCAATGAGAGGCGAGCTGGATCAACGGAGGATGCAATTTTCTCAGCAACGGAGGCTCCTTTGGTCGGAGCTGAACTTCGGTTCACGAACAACTAGGAAATGCACACGTTACGGTGACAGCGTTACCAACAAAATGAATACTCCTGATCAACATCGGTCTTTTCAACCGATGAGGGGGGTGCTTCTACTCAGGGCAGATAGAAACTGTGGCGACAAATTTGAACCCAAGTGAACTCTTAGTTGCTGTTCTATCGCAGCCATTGATGAAACCCACAGCATCACGAGTATTGCCTCTGACGTAACGTGGTGTCTCTTACCCCTAATCTTTCCAATATCCTACGGTTGAGCAACTTGAGGATTGGAGTCACCGGACCCCCCCTTGCAGGAACGGCTTAACGCCGCTCACATTATTTCCTCTAAAATAGTTGTGTCACTCCATGCATCACTCAGTTCTGTTAGGTGAATCGATAGCAACATGAAGTGCCTATAAGTATAGTTACTTCCTGACTTTTGTGAGTATTTTTGATGCTCTGTCAAAGCTGGTGTGTATAATTGCAACTTTGTTCAAAAGCTCATCAATTGTCGCCCAATGGAATTGTTGGTAAAGAAAAAACGATTTTCATTAAAAAAGACCAACATTTAACGGACGATATTTCACTCCTTTTCAGGAGCGACTGCAACCTTCCGCGGCAGCATTCGAAATTGCAATCTCCTGCCAAAGGATTCCGAGCCCCCACCCCTCCGCTGCTTGTCCACTAGTGAGAGTAGTGGTTACTTGACGCGCAACCTACAGTATGCCACTGACCTGGTGCCCTATGTCAGTAACGTGACAATCCAAGTCACGTCCGGCCATCTGTGCTTCTGCGACGCTGACGGCTGCAATGGCGTAGACTCCGTCAAGCCGTTCCTCTCGCTCCTCCTCATCTCGGGCTTGATGCATCTGTTCATGATGTAAAATAGTTTTTAGTACGCATCCAGTAAAATACTGTGTTGTCGTCGGGTGCCTTACCATTTTATAGACGTTATTAGCCTCCGTAGTTTTTGTATCCTCTTATAGTTATAGTTTAATGAAGAAAATGATCCATGCAGTCACGGTTATAAAGACTCGTGTAAGTTTTCACAGCGATCCGTAGCGCTCTCATACAAGATTATACTCATGCCTGTATCGGAAAATTCTACAGCGATTAGGTAGCAGTAGTCTGGTTCCCTG